AAAGATGGCCGAGGCTATAAGAAGATTGCCAAGACCCTGACACTGATCTGCAGCACGGTGGCCAAGACCATACAGAGGTGTAACAGGACAGGTTCCCCTCAGAACAGGCCTCGCCATGGTCCACCAGAGAAGTTGCGTGCACGTGCTCAGCGTCATATCCAGGGTTGTCTTTGGGAAATAGATGTATGAGTGCTGCCAGCATTGCTGCCGAGGGTGAAGGGGTGGGGGGGTCAGCCTGTCAGTGGTGCCAGCATTGCTGCAGAGGGTGAAGGGGTGGGGGGGTCAGCCTGTCAGTGGTGCCAGCATTGCTGCAGAGGGTGAAGGGGGGGGGGGGTCAGCCTGTCAGTGCTCAGACCATACGCCGCACACTGCATCACATTGGTCTGCATGGCTGTCGTCCCAGAAGGAAGCCTCTTCTAAAGATGATGACCAAGAAAGTCGCAAACAGTTTGCTGAAGACAAGCAGACTGAGGACATGGATTACTGGAACCGTCTCCTGTGGTCTGATGACACCAGATCAGCTGATTGGATTCAGATGGTGTCAGGCGTGTGTGGCGGGCAACCGGGTGAGGAGTACAAAGACAAGTGTGTGTCTTGCCTACGTGGTGGTGGGTAGTCAAGCATGGTGGTGGGAGTGTCATGGTCTGGGGCCCCATGGTGGTGGGAGTGTCATGGTCTGGGGCCCCATGGTGGTGCTGGTTTCATGGTCTGGGGCCCCATGGTGGTGGGAGTGTCATGGTCTGGGGCCCCCCGTGGTGGTGGGGGAGTGTCATGGTCTGGGGCCCCATGGTGGTGGTGGGAGTGTCATGGTCTGGGGCCCCATGGTGGTGGGAGTGTCATGGTCTGGGGCTGCATGAGTGCTGCTGGCACTGGGGGGGCTACAGTTCATTGAGGGAACCATGAATGCCAACATATACTGTGACATACTGAAGCAGAACATGATCCCCTCCCTTCAGAGACTGGGCCGCAGGGCAGTAATCCAACATAATGACCCCAAACACACCTCCAAGACCACCACTGCCTTGCTAAAGAAGCTGAGGATGAAGGTGATGGACTGGCCAAGCATGTCTCCAGACCTGAACCCTATTGAGCATCTGTGGGGCATCCTCAAATGGAAGGTGGGGAGGAGCGCAAGGTCTCTAACATCCATCCACCAGCTCTGTGATGTCATCATGGAGTAGAGGAAGAGGACTCCAGTGGCTCCTGTGAAGCTCTGGTGACCTCCATGCTCATGAGGGTGAAGGCAGTGCTGGAAAATTGGCAGCCACACAAAATATTGACACTTTGGGCCCAATTTGGACCTTGTCACTTAGGGGGGGCTCACTTTTGTTGCCAGCGGTTTAGACATTAATGGCGGTGTGTTGAGTTATTTTGATGGGGGACAGCAAATTTCCATGTTCTACAAGCTGTACACTGACTACGTCACATTGTAGCAAAGTGTCATTTCTTCAGTGTTGTCACATGAAAAGAGAATCAAATATTGACACAAATGTGGGGGGGGGGGACTCACTTCTGATACTGTATATATACACACACACACACAATATATATATATATACATACACAACATATACATGTGTGTGTGGGGGAATGTATAGTTGCGGTTCACACACAACAGGTGCAGCAGCGTGATAGCACATTCCTGAGCCGCATTTATTTCAAATATGTGAGAAAAGAAGTTCCTGACTTTTTTTCCCCTCAAAATAACACCGCATGTTGCACGGTTAAGTGCCCGGTCACACGGCTGCAATTTGAAATTGCGCGATTTATGTGCCATTTCAGCGCCATTTCTCTGTATGTGAAATCGCAACAAAAACTGCAGAAAAAGTAATGCAGGAGCGACTTTAGAAATGGCGCTGCAGCAAATCGCACGTGTTAAGACGCCAACATTCACATTCATTAGATGGGATTTCAATTAGCAAATTGCACCGGTATGACCGGGCACTAAAGGGCAACTCCATTTTCATGGAAAACAAAAAGATTGCAAAAAAATAAAAGAAATAATAAATTAAAAAATGACATTTCCTCTAAAATCTGCAACTGCTGTGATTCTATGCAAAATTCAAAACGGCAACCTGGAGGCGTTGTGTACACAGATGGTATAAACAAACGCCTTAGCAGAAATATTTCCTGCTGATTGGCTCACTGGTTTTCCCAGAAGTCTGCACTAACATACAAGTCAGATTTTGGGTATCCCCTGCAACAAAAATGTCATTTAGTGAGATACTCCCAAAAAGATAAAAATCAGTCTTAAAAAAAAAAAAAAAGAAAAAAAAAAGAAAAAAAAAGGGATGCAGACCCTGCCGCTTTCCCGAGGAGCTCTGCAGGTGCAGCAGCTGTTTGATAATGATAAAATCAGTCCCGGTTACATTCACTTTCCACATGGACACAGAGAAACAAACCGCTTGTTTCTGTGTGTGTCAAGAAAGCATGCAATTTTGTGCCAAATCCTGACACACGCAGTACCAATATCCAAAAGGTAGGAGAAAATAAATAAATAAATATATATATATATATATATATATATAATATACACACACAATTTTTGTTGTGATGTGTGTTTTGTGTGTGTGTGTGTGTGTGTGGTGTGTGTGTCATGTGTGTGTGTGTGTGTGTGTGTGTGTGTGTATATGTGTGTGTGTGTTGTATATATATATATATTTTTTTAACATTACAAAAATAAAGATCTATTTAAAATATCAATCTATATTATATCAGTCTATTTTATATCAGAAATATAGGTGGAGTGCACAATGATGATCAATCACAGTGCATAGCAATCAGGCCCTCCAAAAGGCCATGCATGGAAAAAACGAAAAAATTGGATTGCTGCACAAAAAAAAAAAAAAATGTTATTGTTGAAAAATCACCATACAAAAGGGTGATCCAAAAAAAATGAACAAAGCCATACATAGCGTTCAGCAATTATTATGTTAACACTCATTCTTCAGATCAGAACACATACTGAAATACAAAATGCTACTTAGAAAATATAACATACATCATAATATGTAATAATTATGATGTATGTATATATTGATCTATTATGATGTATATATGTATTGATCTAAGTAACATTTTCAATATGTGTTTCAATATGTGTTCTGATCTGAAGAAGAGCATTAACATAATAGCCCAAGACTGTTTGTTGAACACTATGATGTACGGCTTTGTCCATTTTTTTGGATCACCCTTTGTATGGTGATTTTTCAAAATAAAAGCTTTTTTATGTGCAGCAATCCATTTTCTTTTCTCTATAACATGGCCTTTGGGAGGGCATTGATGCACTGTGACTGATCATCGTTGTGTATCCACCCATATTACCTGATATATATATACACACACATACACAACACACACAACACACGTGTTATAATGTGTATCTATACACAATAAGAAATTTTTATTATATGGATTTCAATATAAACATTTTAAACAAATATATCTAAACAAACAACACGTAGTATATTAAAGATATAAAAGTAGATATATCATAAAAAACATACACATTACACACATTTTTATATGATATAAAAATATATATATAATTTTTTTTGTTTTTTTTAGTAAAAGAAAAAAAAATATAATCATATAAAAAACACACTTTTTTTAATCTCTCTTTCTATACAACAACACATTATATATAAAAAATATATGAAAATTAATACACATACACACACATATATAAAAAAAAAAAAAATTATATATACCCATATATAACATACACAACATTAAAAAATATATATAATATATATACATACACAACATACACACTATATTTAATAATATTTTATAATATATAAACACACACATACACACTATATATATATATATATATACACAACAACAAATATATATATATCTATATATATATACACACACAAACACACTATATATATATATTATAACATACAAATATATATATATATATATATATACTTACACACTATATATATTATATACATAATTATAATATATATATATATATATATATATAATATATATATATATGTATATATACACTAATATATATACATTACACACACATACACATATATATATATATATATATACATACATACTACACACACACATATATACAATACATACATAACAAAATTTACAAAAATACACATTACTATTATATATATATATATATATATATAACACACATATATACACATAATACATACATATAAAATACATACATATACAACACACAAAAATATTTTATATATATATATATATATATATTTAAAAAAAATTATTTTATGTATGTATGGCTGTCTCATTCATGTCTCACCTTCACTATGTGCATGTCCACCCGTACATTTCCAGCCACTTCGCATTATTCAGATAATTAATTTTCAGCCTCAGCCGGCATCTGACCTCTGCAAGGAAACACAAAGTCGTTACCCGGGAGGGCGCGTGCGGGCCATTTAAGGCTGGATTCACATTGACATAGCAATAAAAAACACATGGCAGAATGATGTGTGCGTCCATCCACTTTATACGCGTTTGTGACGTGCAATGATGCGCGGTTTCCAGGTGGGATATACAGCCCGCCACAGAAGGGAATGGCTTCACACCCCAAATGCTGATGCTTCATCATATTGGCATTTACCCACGCATGCACATATGGCTCATTTTCCAGATGTACCAATTACTGCATTACGTCCACTAGGTGGAGCTGACGACCATAGTAAACATACATATTTATTTCCCATGATCATCAGCATCATCTAGTGGCCAAAATGTGGAATTTTCCCGATTGGCTCTATTCTTATGAAGGAAAAACATTCGACCTGGGAAATAATATGGTCTAATAATATTCGGTTTTACCCCGATTCATAGAGAATGGCCCCGATCACTAACCAGAACCAGAGCCCAGCGAATGAGAACGCAGCAAAGTGCAGGCAGCTCTACCTGAACTCCTTCCACTTCTCGAACACGCCAGCTCGAAATCCTCCGTCTGGGTGGGCACAAAGCGGAATTCTGACACCAGTCCGGCGGGTGCTCGCTGGGCTCAAAGTTCTCCCATTTCCCCTAAAAAAGAGACAAGAGAGAGAAGATCCATATAAAGTCCTCCAACCACCAAATCCATACTCACCACATGAAGCCGACAGCAAGAACGGGAAACAGAGATTCGCCTACAGCAGATTGGAAAGCTGAACTCCAAGGCAAGATTCACACCAGGGGAAAATGTGTGAATCTTGGGTGAAAATGGAAATGAATAGATGCAGACTTCAGTGTTATTCCTACCACGTGGTATTAAAACACCCAACAGCAAGAAAAACCAAACTCCGCCCACAATGTGAAACAATGTTCTGTCTTTCGGTGAAAAGCCCGCCCCCCCAAATCCATTCAGCCAAGGAGAGTTATAGAGGAAGGAGCGGAGTCCTCCAGCAGCGCAGAGTATTTCAGGAGAGAGGATTTATAGAGGAAGGAGCGGAGTCCTCAGCAGTGCAGAGTATTTCAGGAGAGGAGAGTTATAGAGGAAGGAGCGGAATCCTCCAGCAGCGCAGAGTATTTCAGGGAGAGTTATAGAGGAAGGAGAGGAGTCCTCCAGCAGTGCAGAGTATTTCAGGAGAGGAGTTATAGAGGAAGGAGCGGAGTCCTCCAGCAGCGCAGAGTATTTCAGAGAGGAGAGAGTTACAGAAGAAGGAGCTGAGTCCTCCGGCAGTGCAGAGTATTTCAGGAGAGGAGAGTTATAGAGGAAGGAGCGGAGTCCTCCAGCAGCAGAGTATTTCAGGAGAGGAGTTACAGAGGAAGGAGCGGAGTCCTCCGGCAGTGCAGAGTATTTCAGGAGAGGAGAGTTACAGAGGAGGAGCGGAGTCCCTCCAGCAGTGCAGAGTATTTCAGGAGAGGAAGTTATAGAGGAAGGAGCGGAGTCCTCCAGCAGAGCAGAGTATTTCAGGAGAGGAGAGTTATAGAGGAAAGGAGCAGAGTCCTCCAGCAGAGTATTTCAGGAGAGGAGTTACAGAAGAAGGAGCGAAGTCCTCAGCAGCGCAGGAGTATTTCAGGAGAGTTACAGAGGAAGGAGCGGAGTCCTCCAGCAGCGCAGAGTATTTCAGGAGAGGAAAAGGGAGTTATTAGAGGAAAGGAGCGGAGTCCTCCAGCAGTGCAGAGTATTTCAGGAGAGGAGTTACAGAGGGAAGGAGCGGAGTCCCTCCAGCAGCGCAGAGTATTTCAGGAGAGGAGTTACAGAGGAAGGAGCGGAGTCCTCCGGCAGTGCAGAGGACAATTGTACTATGGACAGGAGTTCCCCTGGTTGGACGTTCGGACAGCGGCAAGAAACTTCTCCACTGCTGGTGAGGAGGATCGAGGACTGGAGGAGGTTAAACATGACACCGTGTAGACAGGGAGAGGTTATGGCTGGACTCCGCTGGAAATATCATGTCTCCCGTCAGCTGGACACTATTCTGCTAAATCCGGATTAACGTCCCATCTCATCTAAACCCAAATCTGCTGCTTATCAGCACAGCGGCCAGACAGAGAGCTTACTGCCCAACCGGCGGCCATCGCTGCCATCCCGGGGCCACACGCAGGCAGACAACAAGGTTGCCAGAACATGCCTACAGCTAGAAGAACATGGTACCTGCTGCCTAGTACCTGCACCTGCTGCCTGGTCCTACTGCCTGCTAGGTGGCCACACTGTCCTGCTTGTTAAGGGCCATCCCTGGGCTGTCTATGTGTGCAGGCCAGAGCCGGGCCCCCCTCCCCCGGGGGTGAGGCATGGTGATCCGTACCTTGTAGGGTGTATGCAGCCAGCTGCACCGCTGTGTCGAAAGGACATTCCAACCTTAAAGACAAATCAAGCCATAAATTAGATTCACAATCTTCCAGAAGTCTCTATTTCATCTCATCTTTTTTAAAAGTTGTAGATCGGGTAGGGAAGGGGTTAAAACCCCAACAATTACAAATTTGATTTTTTTTTGGGGCTCTCCATGCCCCTTTGGGGAGAATGCCCATCACTTGCTGTCCCAGTGACACAACAGGAAAAAGGAAACCTCCCAAAGTGAGGAACACCACTCTTCAACAGTTTTCACTCCATTGGGAGATCTTTTCAGTCCTTTTCAGGTGGGTTTCCCATCACAATGGTCTCGGACAATGGTCACCAGCACAAGCAGAGGGGTGAATCCTCCCCAGCTTGGATACAGACAGGAAAAAAAAAATTATGACAGAGGATCTAACCCCATGTCTCACTCCATCCAAATTAGAAAATTGTGGCTGGTTGACAGTTTATGAATGGAGAGATAAATCAGACCCAGGGACTCATGACCATCAGATCCCCCAACTGGCACCCTCCAACTATCAGATCCAGTGCACCACGACCATCATGAGACTGGCCACCCACAACCCAAAGCCTCCAACCATCAGAACCCCTCCACCCCATGACCATTGGATCCTGTCACCCCCAACCTGACGGCCTCCAACCATCAGACCGGCCACCCCCAACCATCAGACCCCTACACCCCATGACTATCAGACCTGGTCCCCCCAACCATCAGACCCCTACACTCCCCATTGACCATCAGACCCAGCTATCTGCAACCCAGCACCTCCAACCATTAGGACCCTCCACTCCATGACCATCAGACCCAGCCGCCCCCAACCTGGTGCCCAACCATCAGAACCCTCCACCCCATGGCCATCAGATCAACCCCCACAGTATGACCATCAGACCTGGCAACCCCCAATCCAGCACCCTCCAACCATCAGACCCCCCAACCCAAGACCATCAGACTTGGGTAACCCCCAAACTGGTGCCCTCCAACCATCGACATGGTACCCTCTGACCATCAGACCTGGCAACCCCAAATCTGGCGCTCCACAACCATCAGTCCCGGCAACCATCAGTCCTCACCCCATTCCATGACCTTTAGACCAGGCAACCTCCAACACGGCACCCCTCGGACCATCAGACTCCCCCACCATCACATGACCTTTAGACCAGGTAACCTCCAAACTGGTGCCCCTCTGACCATCAGAAACGGAAACCCCGAACCCAAGCGCCACAACCGCCAGACCTATTGCCCTCCAACCTTCAGACAGGGGCAGGAAAGAACACTTACTTTCCACTCAGGACATCTTGTTTCAGCTGCAAGACGAAGAGATACCTGGAGGACAGAAGATGGAAGAAGCTGAAATTCACCATCTTTATGAAAAGGAAATCAATCATACGAACCAGCATTGTCTAGGGCACGGCCGAAAAGGCCGGGGAGAAGGCAGATGAGGGATCACCTTTGGCACTTCAGCAGGAGAGAGGCACAAACAAAAACCTGGACCTGCAACCTAGGTGTTTGAAGTAGTTCATACTCATGGAAGGAGCAGAGGGCACACTTTTGGCCTGTCTTGGGTGTGAAAAGGTCCATGAGCCAGTTCCGGTAACGTTCATCCAAGATCTCCAAATTCCTGTCCAGGCAGCTCTAGAAATGGTCACCCCTGAATCCCCAACTGTAGGGACTACAGTGGTGGCCGTTCTGCTGATCAAGGTCTGTGAACTTGGCTGCCAGTAGATGGGGCTTTACATGAGCACAGCGTACAGAGCTGATCCGAGAGGCTCTGTACTTTGTGATCCTTGTGATAACCAATCACAGTCCTCATAGATGTAAACAGTGGCCTTCTCATTTTACATCAGAGAAATGGGATCTATAAGTTCCAGAGAAGGCAGAAGCAGAATCAGGAGGTGGGGGGTTGATTGGGGGAATTTTTCTCTTTAACCCTTTCATCCCCATCTCTAATGACCATATATTAACCCTTCACCTTTCTTAACCTGCACATTAATCTGTACATTTAAAGTATAACTAAAGACAACCCCCCCCCCCCCATTTTGGATGTAAGGGGGGGGGGTGTCAGTAACTTTTTGCAACCTGTGTCCCATTGAGGTGATTTCCCTTCACTTCCTGTCCCATAGCCAAAAAGGAAGAGAGAGAGGTAATCCCTCTAAAGTGAGGGAAACCAGGGGTGTCACCAGAACTATTGTCTCCACTGGGTGGTTTTTCCCCTCCATTCCTGTTCAGGTGGCAACACAAAATTTGGGATTTTCTTTCATATTTGGGGACAAAAGTTGAAATAGGACAAATAGAGGGTGCCAACCCCGGTGCCTTCAACCATCAGATCAGACCCCTCCACCCCATGGCCATCAGACCCAGACTCCCATGGCCATCAGATTGACCCTCCACCCTATAACCATTAGACCTGGCAACCCACAATCCAGTGCCCTCCAACCATCAGTGACCTGGTACCTTCTGACCAGACTTGGGAACCCCCAACCTGGCGCTCCACAACCATCAGTCCCAGAAACCATCAGACCCCCACCCCATCTTATGACCTTTAGACAAGGCAACCTCCAAACTGGTGCCCTCTGACCATCAGATCCAGAAACCCCAAACCTAAGCGCCACAACCACCAGACCTACTGCCCTCCAACTTTCAGACCTGGCTGGTACCCTCTGACTATCAGACCTGGCAACCCCAACCATCAGTTACCCCCCCCTCCCCACCATTACATGACCTTTAGACCAGACACCCTCCAACCCCCCACCATCCCATGACCTTTAGACCAGACACCCTCCCAACCCCCCACCATCCCATGACCTTTAGACCAGACACCCTCCAAACCCCCCATTTTGGATAGAGTAAAGGGTGGGGGGGGGGTCAGTAACTTTTTTTGCAATCGTGTCCCATTGAGGCGATTTCCCTTCACTTCCTGTCCCATACCCAAAACAGGAAGAGGGAGGAAATCCCTCCAAAGTGAGGGAAACCAGGGGTGTCACCAGAACTATTGTCCCCACTGGATGATTTTTGCCCCCCATTCCTGTTCAGGTGGCAACCCAAAATTTTGGATTTTCTTTCCTATTTGGGGACAAAGGTTGAAATAGGACAAAGAGTGTGCCTGGTCACACTGGAGCGATTTGCGAATTGAAAAATCGCATCTAATGAATGTGAATATCGGTGTCTCAACATCTGCGATTTGCTGCACAACGATTTCTAAAGTAGTTCTTACATTACTCTGCAGTTTATTGCGAAAAAAAAAAAAAATCACCTTGGGGTGACTACTTTCCAAAAAAAAAAAAAAATAAATAAATAAAATACTACAATATATATATTTTTTAATTATTTTTATTTAATTTAGTTTTGGAGGGGATTAAGAAAAAAAAAAGATATATATATAATTTTTTTTTTTTTTATTTAGTTTTGGAGTGTTTTTGACACAGTAATTCTTTAATAGGTTCAGAAACCAGCAATGTACACTATAATCTCACCTCCTGTTCACTGCTCCACCCAAAACAGAAACCTGTAAAATGCTGTTGAACCTTTTTTTCCACCCCAGCTTGTATTTTTTTTTTTTGTGGTCACCGACCATATATACTCCATATATGCGGCATGCAGGACCATCAGCCATATATCAACTCCCCGATCATCCTGATCATCCATCACTCCACCTTCTATAAACACAGCGGTGACCCCGTAATAAATCAGACGCTTCATGGTGGAGCATGCTGGGAAGGGATGATGGGGAGGGGCCAGTAAACCATTAATGACCAGTAGAATGATGGGGTGTACCCAGCGGTGGACTGACCATTTGGAAGCTCAGGCACTGCCTGGGCCTGGGGTCAGTAGGGGGCCCCATGAGATGCCCCTGGTACCTTTTTCATAGGCTTTTTTGAGTTTGGGCAAGGACACAGGGGCCCCATGATCCCCTATTACCCAGGGGCCCCATGAGTTGTCAGTCCGCCCCTGGGTGTAACTGGCATACATAGGCTTCGTTGGATGCAGAGAATTGACCGTCCGCCATTAAAAAGCAACAATAAATAACTGCCGGCATGCTGGAAGATATACGGGGTGACCACGCACGGATGATTTTAGGCGGAGCAGCTGTTATCAACCCTACAACATAACCATGCGTGGGTCACATGACTTCAATGAATATAAGAGTTCGATGTATCGAAAAGATTCCATTTATCAGCACAGCAGCTAAGTGGTCAGCACTTCCAGATGGCAGTACTCGGGTCGCCGGTTCAAATCCCAACCACAGCTCCACCTGCCTGGAGTTTGCATGTTCTCCCTGTGCCTGCGTGGGTTTCCTTCGGGTACTCCGGTTTCCTCCTACACTTCAAAGACATGCTGGTAGGGTGAATTGGCTCCTGCCTAAATTGGCCCTAGTATGTGTATGTATGAATGTGAGTTAGGGACCGTAGACTGTACGCTCCTCGGGGCGGGGACTGATGTGAATGTACAATATATATGTGAAGCGCTGAGTAAATTGATGGTGCTAGAAGTACCTGAAATAAATAATAAATCAGCACCGCGTTCATTCAGAGCTTATCGCCAGAGCAGCGTCATCACCGAGACACGGCGCCCCCTCCTGGACGCAGTCTAGCTCAGGTCACAGGACACAGAAGAAATAAATCCTTTTTTTTTTTAGAACAGAGAAAGCAAAAAAAAAAAAAAAAAAAATCCATGAAAGCTGATTTTTTAGGAATCTGTCCACCTCTATTCAGATCCATTGGTGTTTTGGGTGTTCCCGCCCACCATGAGGGGTCTCGCTCCTCCCGCTGCACTCTTGTCAACATAAAATAATTACATCAGAGAAAGTGGAACTCGCAGGACTGCAGACCCAGGAAGCCGAGATCTCATCACCCGACAGGTGGAGTGATTTTGGTTTTGAGTGGAGTTTTTTTTTTTAAGAATTTCCCACAATCCCGCAGGGCACTGACCTTGTGAGTTCCTCTCGCAGGTTGTTGGGCTCCGAGGAGTAGAATTTCACCCGCAGGTGGAGGCAGTACGGAGGACCAACTGCAAGGCAAGCGCAGAGCGTCAGATCGCAGGTAACCAACTACTCCGCCCAACATCCCAAACTTCTCACAACTTCCTAATGGAGGCAGAGGAAGGACAACCGACGGAGGTTCAACCCTCGCCCAGAGAATATTACAATGAAATAAAAAGAAAAGATGAAATGGAAATAAAAAGTAAATTAAAAGAAAAAAATAAAATAAAAATTTAAAATAAAAAACTAAAAAAAAAAAAAAAAAATTAAATAAAAACTAAAATAACTTAAAAATATTAAAAATAAAATGAACATAAAAATTTTAAAAATTAAACAGAAAAAAACAACTAAAAAAAGTGGACCAGTCAGCAACTTCCGGCTACACAAATAAACTCCAGAGAGGTCACAATACACAGCATCAGCATCACTCAGAAACACGCCACCTCTTATCATTAAGAAGCCATCTTTAAACTCCAGTCAGTGATTTTGCCTAGGCTGAGATGAGGTCATCAGTCTGCTGCAGGCAGGAGGAAGTATTTTCTCAGTCTCCCCTCCCCCAGTGATCAGACTGTACATTGTAACTTTGAGGAAATGCCTCCTCTTCCTTATCCAATGTACAGTCTGATCACTGGGGGAGGGGAGACTGAGGAAATACTTCCTCCTCCTTCTACAGTCTCACCTCCCCCCCCAGTGATCAGGCTGTACATTGTAACTTTGTAGAAGGAGGAGGAGGCGTTTCCTCAGTCTCCCTTCCCCCAGTGATCAGACTGTACATTGTAACTTTGAAGGAGGAGGCGGCATTTCCTCGGTCTCCCCTCCTCCAGTGATCAGACTGTACATTGAGGAAAGGTTTCCTCCTCCTTCTGCAAAGTTACAATGTACAGTCTGATCACTGGGGGAGGGGAGATCAAGGAAATGCCTCCTCCTTCTACAAAGTTACAGTCTCCTCTCCCCCAGAGTTCAGACTGTACATTGTAACTTTGTAGAAGGAGGAGTCGTCATTTCCTCAGTCTCCCCTCCCCCAGTAATCAGACTGTACATTGTAACTTTGAAGGAGGAGGCATTTCCTCAGTCTCCCCTCCCCCAGTGATCAGAGTGTACATTGTACCTTTAGAAGGAGGAGGAGGCATTTCCTCAGTCTCCTCCCCCAGTGATCAGACTGTACATTGTAACTTTGTAGAAGGAGGAGGCATTTCCTCAGTCTCCCCTCCCCCAGTGATCAGACTGTACATTGAGGAAATGCTCCCTCCTCCTTCTACAAAGTTACAATGTACAGTCTGATCACTGGGGGAGGGGAGATCAAGGAAATGTTTCCTCCTCCTTCTACAAAGTTACAACGTACAGTCTGATCACTGGGGGAGGGGAGATCAAGGAAATGCTCCCTCCTGCTTCTACAAAGTTACAGTCTCCCCTCCCCCAGTGATCAGACTGTACATTGTAACTTTGTAGAAGGAGGAGGAGTCGTTGCCTCAGTCTCCTCCCCCAGTGATCAGACTGTACATTGTAACTTTGTAGAAGGAGGAGGAGTCATTTCCTCAGTCTCCTCCCCCAGTGATCAGACTGTACATTGTAACTTTGTAGAAGGAGGAGGAGGCATTTCCTCAGTCTCCCCTCCCCCAGCGATCAGACTGTACATTGAAGGAGGAACTACACTGTATCTGAGCACCACAAACCAAAAATGAGGTTTAAATTATTTTTTAACATTCAAACTCCCCCATCCCTCCATGCTTTATTTTGCTGTGAAGTCAATTTGAACCCCCCCCCCCCCTAGCATTTCTAGCCACGGCCATCTTGAAAAAGGGCCATATAGCATTTACTTCCTGGAATTCATCTGCCCTTAGCTCAGTCATGCAAGCAGGAGGGTGTGCTTAGCGGAGAAAGCCCCTCACCCCCTGCTGAAGACTCCTAGGATGTAGGACATCATTTTTGTCCTTGGCCAGAAACCAGGAAGTAACTAAAAAAATGTAAGGGGGGAAAAAAAAAAAGAAAAAAGGGAAACATGATATACCTTCCTATGTACTAATGATAGCAGCATAAGAATTAGAAATAGTCGATGATTGAGAGGGTGAAGTTCTGCGCTTCCTCCAATCAGGAGACTTCCCACCACTGGCCATAGAGATCGGTACTCTCAGCTCAGACCGCGACGTGGCAGAGAAGATCGATCGTTATGGCAAATACCAGCATGAGACTCGCAGCTTCGTGAATGGAGTCATTTATGTCATTTATGTCACTCGCAGCCGACGGCGTCCTGCAGAGATGACACGGCGTGAACGCGTCTGCCGCCCCCCCCCCTTCATAGAGACATATGGAGCGGCAGGATTATGTCAAGTTCAATGCGGAGCGGACAACAAACCTGACATGTCTATCCGAGAGCCAATCAGGAGGCGGTACTTACTGGCCACTTGCTTCTTGATGCTCTTCGTGTGATCCAACCAATGCTGTGCAGAGAACAGAACGACAGATTGTTACCAACAGAGATCACAACATAGGAAACAAACATTCTACATATCATGGAAGGGAATGGGATCCACCCCACCTGTGCCAATGTATGGATGACTGTACAGGGGCATTAGAGTGTCAGCTCCTCTGTACAGAGACTGATGTCACTGTGGGGGAGGGTGACAGAGTGTCACGGAGCCAGTCCCATCAGTCTCTGCACCAGAGGAGCTGACACTCTACTGTCCCCCAGTCAGAGACTGATGTGTGACTGGCTGAGTGATTTCTGTACAGCGCTGTGGTATATGTCAGAGCTATATAAAATGTATAATAGTCCCCTGCAACTGTGGGGGAGGGGACAGAGTCTCTGCACCAGAGGAGCTTACAATTAATATCATACATTTATATAGCTCTGACATATACTGCAGCGCTGTACAGAGATCACTGAGCCAGTCACATCAGTCTGTGTACCAGAGGAGCTTACACTCTAATGTCCCCTCCCCCACAGTCCCATCAGTCTCTGTACCAGAGGAGCTTACGCTGTAATGTCCCCTCCCCCCCACAGTCCCATCAGTCTCTGTACCAGAGGAGCTTACGCTGTAATGTCCCCTCCCCCACAGTCCCATCAGTCTGTGTACCAGAGGAGCTTACACTCTAATGTCCCCTCCCCCACAGTCCCATCAGTCTCTGTACCAGAGGAGCTTACGCTTGTAATGTCCCCTCCCCCCACAGTCCCATCAGTCTCTGTACCAGAGGAGCTTACGCTGTAATGTCCCCTCCCCCACAGTCCCATCAGTCTCTGTACCAGAGGAGCTTACGCTCTAATGTCCCCTCCCCCACAGTCCCATCAGTCTCTGTACCAGAGGAGCTTACGCTCTAATGTCCCCTCCCCCACAGTCCCATCAGTCTCTGTACCAGAGGAGCTTACGCTGTAATGTCCCCTCCCCCACAGTCACATCAGTCTCTGTACCAGAGGAGCTTACACTCTAATGTCCCCTCCCCCACAGTCCCATCAGTCTCTACACCAGAGGAGCTTACATTCTAATGTCCTCCCCCACAGTCAGAGACTGGTCTGACTCAAGTGTTCTCTGTACAGCGCTGCGGTATATGTCAGAGCTGGTACAGAGAGGTATATGTAATAATAATAATAATAGTGTGTGACCGTAGGGGAGGGACATTAGAGTGTAAGCTCCTCTGGTACAGAGACTGATGGGACTGTGGGGGAGGGGGCATTAGAGTGTAAGCTCCTCTGGTACAGAGACTGATGGGACTGTGGGGGAGGGGACATTAGAGTGTAAGCTCCTCTGGTACAGAGGACTGATGGGGACTGTGGGGGGAGGGGGCATTAGAGTGTAAGCTCCTCTGGTACAGAGACTGATGTGACTGTGGAGGACTGTGGGGGGGGCATTAGAGTGTAAGCTCCTCTGGTACAGGGACTGATGTGACTGGCTCAGTGTTCTCTGTACAGTGCTGCGGTATATGTCAGCGCTATATAAATGTATAATAATAAGAATATGGTCACAATTCTACATAGTCAATCATTTTTCGTGTGACAACAGAAATCGTTACAATTCGTTACTTTTGTGGACGGTGACAACGCTCAGTCTATGGATTCTCTAATGAACCAAACTACAGGCAGCAGACTGGTCAGAGGACACGGGACAATGATGGGGACGGGGAGCACTGCTTGCAGCTTTGGGGGTGCTCAGTGGATTCGCCTTCTCCCTACAATTTGTTCAGAGCAGCCGGCATGCCAGCATCTGCCTCCCAGCCGGGTTTATATGAGGTCACTGGAGGTAGGCTGCGAGGAAAGATTGTAGAGTAAACTTTGAGGCATGAGGCAGGAGGCGCCTCTTCCTGCACTTCATTGCCCATCATCATTATATATGACAGGTAGTCTGATCAATGGAATGCTGAGGCCGGATGCAGCCATCAGTCATTGAGTTCTGAATACAGACAGCCCCCCTCTTACTGAGTATCTGATGGGGGGGGGGGGGGGTCACGGCACCTATCTGTGCCTGTCTCGGGGCTGCTCAGCTACCAGCCCAGGAATGTGGAGGAGATGAAAGAAAACAGGCTGGCAGATGAAGAAAAACATAGCCAGACTTTCTCATTCACAGCCTGATCCTCCCCCACACTGACATCTCCCTGTGTAGAGGGACCAGAGGAACAGAGCAACTTCTACCCTTCTCCTCGTCTGGTCCTCAGTTCTAGGATAACCCAAATACCTCCTCCATAACCCAAACATCCTACACCCCCACATGACCCAAATCCCCCATAACCCCCCCCCTCCACACCGCCCAAATCCCCTATACCCCCTCCACAGGACCCAAACCCCTATACCCCCTCCACACAACCCAAATCCCCTATACCCCCTCCACACAACCCAAATCCCCTGTACCCCCTCCACAGCCCCCAAATCCCCTGTACCTCCCCCGCACAATCCAAATCCCCTATACCGCCTCCACAGCCCCCAAACCCCCTATACCGCCTCCACAGCCCCCAAATCCCCTATACCTCCCCCGCACAATCCAAATCCCCTATACCTCCTCCACGTCACCCAAATCCCCCCATACCTCCTCCACAGCCCCCAAATCCCCTATACCTCCTTCACAGCCCCCAAATCCCCCATACCTCCTCCACAGCCCCCAAATCCCCCATACCTCCTCCACAGCCCCCAAATCCCCCATACCTCCTCCACAGCCCCCAAATCCCCCATACCTCCATACCTCCTTCACAGCCACCCAAATCCCCATAACTCCACCACAGCCCCCAAATCCCCATTACCTCCTTCCACAGCACCCCCAAATCCCCCATACCTCCTCCACAGCCCCCAAATCCCCCATACCTCCTCCACACAACCCAAATCCCCCATATTACCACAATCATAACTGAAATTCACCATTCTGGATCCAACCCCCCCCCCCCCCCCCCCCCATCCTTTCCTTACCTGCTATGACCTAACTCTCCACCCCCGTTACTCTATAACCACCTAACCAGGGGCGGACTGATCATTCGAGCACTGCCCGAGGGCCCAGGGTCAGTAGGAGGCCCCCATGGGATGCCCCTGGTACCTTTCATTGGCTTTTTCGTAGGCTTTTTTGGGTGTTGGCAAGGACACAGGGGCCCCATGATCCCCTATTGCCTGGGGGCCCCATGAGTGGTCAGTCCGCCCCTGCACTTCTATTACACCCAAAAATCTGCCCTTTTATTACTTAAACCCCAAATCTCTGTCCTATTACTACATTAAACCCCTAAATTCCCATCCTCCTATAATTCCATAACACCTCAAATCCCTGTCCCTCTGTTACTCCATTACGCCTCGAAAATTCATGTCCTTCTATTACTAAAGTACACACCTAGACCCGTGCTTCTGTTGCTCAATTACACCCCAAATCCCTGTCCAATTGTACCATTACACCCCAAATCCCTGTCCTATTGTACCATTACACCCCAAATCCCTGTCCTATTGTACCATTACACCCCAAATCCCTGTCCTATTGTACCATTACACCCCAAATCCCTGTCCTTCCATTGTTACATTACACCCTAAATCCCTGTCCTTCCATTGTTCCATTACACCCCAAATCCCTGTCCTTCCATTGTTGCATTACACCCCAAATCCCTGTCCTTCCATTGTTGCATTACACCCCAAATCCCTGTCCTTCCATTGTTGCATTACACCCCAAATCCTTGCCCTTCTATTGTTCCATTACACCCCAAATCACTGTCCTTGTGTCGGTTTATTACACCCCAAATCCTTGCCCTTCTAGTACTCCATTACACCTCCAAATCCATGTCCATATATTGCTTTTACACCCACAAATCCATTTGGTCTTAAATACTCAATTAGATCCCAAATCCCCACCCTTCTATTACAGCCCATTGCCCTGCCCTTATATTTATCTAGTACACCCCAATACCTTGCTTTTCTATTGCTGTATTATTCTTCCCTCTACTGGACCCAATTTCCCCAGTCTGTCTATCATAACCCATTTCCTTGCCCTTTACATACTCTAGGACACCTAAATTCCATATGTTTCCTCGCTCTACTAGACCCAATTCCCCCATTTCTCCTATCCTAAGCCAATTTTCTGCTCTTCTCCACCATTCCAGACCCAAAATGTCCCATTTGCATCCAATACCCAAAATCCCACCGAACAATGGAGGAGTAACTGAACTTACAGGCACTTGGGCGGAATCCATGAACTGTAAGCCAAAATAGTCCATCTCAATGAGGTCCAGGTGGTACATGATCTGGTCGAAGAGCGCCTGGCCTTTGGCTTTTTTCTACAAGGGAAGAAAAAAAAACAAAAAACACATTAAGTGAAGGCAGCACATCCCGGACATCACACAGAGCTGGAGGTAGCCAACAGACCATATCCAACCACAAAGCATACATGCTGGACCAATGGGAGTAACAATACATTGGGAAAGGTGGACTCCACTCTGAATGATAGAGCAGAATCTAGGTTTACTGAACAAAAACTGTCCGGGCCAATTAATAAAACAAGTTTATTTTGCCTGTAATGGTTTACAATAAAGACCTTTGACATAAAAGGTCTCCATTCCATTTCTCCGATGATACAATGGACATCCAACCAAATATCAGAAGAACAGAGGTATTCACATAGGCCGGGGTCATAGGAAGTGTATTACAGATACGTGGATCATCTCAGCCAACAAATGAAATACCAAAAGAGTAACCTGGCCAAAAATATGGTATGAAGCGTATGGAACAAAGTTCACGAAAGTCAAGTTTCTTCTTCTCCAGTTTTAGAATGCTAAAGTTTCTAGTGAATACGCCTTCTAATTACTGGGAGACCCTTCCATGGCAGTACTAGTGTAGGAAAAAAAGCCTGTATAGGGTGGCCGGCTGGAATTTCTCCCAAGGCTGCCAGACCTCCTGAAATACAACTAAATGGTCTCCCAGCATATTAACCATCCGTTCATTAATCTAAATCAGCCATTCCCAACCAGGATTCCTCCAGAGGTTGCTAGGAGTTCCTCGAGCTGTGGCAGATTGACCTCCCATATGATGGTGCCAACAGAGTTCTGAGTCCAAAGCTACATGACAACACTGTAAAGGGGGCATTCATTCCACTGACCTCCAAATAAATTTTAGTAGGGGTACCCTGAGACCTGGAATTTTTTTTCAAGGGTTCCATTGGAATAAAAAAAAAAAAAAAAAAAAAGAAAGAAGTGTAAGGAAGGTGGATATAAAAATGTTGAAGCACTTGAATTATGCCATGATAATAGGTAAATTTGGATTGTGCGATTGGTAAACAATAGTCCACTTGGTTGCCAGCACCACAAACAGATAGAACTTCTTTTGGAAGCGGAACAACCCAAGAGGCTTTATACTGAGTCATGCCATCCATGGAACTAGGGATTTCCAGCTTCCAAAGATAGGTGATCGCCCAAAACACGGCCCGGCCATGGGCCACCGCCAAAACACGGCCCGGCCATGGGCCACCGCCAAAACACGGCCCGGCAATGTAAAAAGGGGGCATTCATTCCACTGACCTCCAAATAAATTTGGCAATGGCAATGGGCCACCGCCAAAACGCGGCCCGGCAATGGGCCACCGCCAAAACGCGGCCCGGCAATGGGCCACCGCCAAAACGCGGCCCGGCAATGGGCCACCGCCAAAACGCGGCCCGGCAATGGGCCACCGCCAAAACGCGGCCCGGCAATGGGCCACCGCCAAAACGCGGCCCGGCAATGGGCCACCGCCAAAACGCGGCCCGGCAATGGGCACCGCCAAAACGCGGCCCGGCAATGGGCACCGCCAAAACGCGGCCCAGCAATGGGCGCCACCGCCAAAACGCGGCCCAGCAATGGGCCACCGCCAAAACGCGGCCCAGCAATGGGCCACCGCCAAAACGCGGCCCGGCAATGGGCCACCGCCAAAACGCGGCCCGGCAATGGGCCACCGCCAAACCGCGGCCCGGCAATGGGCCACCACCAAACCGCGGCCCGGCAATGGGCCACCGCCAAAACGCGGCCCAGCAATGGGCCACCGCCAAACTCTACAATCAAATTGCACCTTCTTCATAAAGGTGGAGAAGGTCAGGCAAGTTGGGCCTTCACGTTTATGCATCAGCCGACACGCAGAGGACCCTGAGCAAAGTCTGATATGCAGACACAATGCCTATAGACACCTACAGACACAGAGACTCCCAACCCAGAGGGCAGATCTTATCGACTTTTACAAAATGTGACATTTCACAGGAAAGGTGAAGAAGATTTGCCAATTCTGCCAACTGCCACATACGAACGCACTGACTCCCATACAAAACACTTTTCAGCATGCTGAAAATATCTAAATAAAACTAGCAGTTACATTTTTACTCTGCAACTTGTACAGGTTTGGATGATGCAAGGGGGGGAAAATCAGACACCCATTAACGTAGGGATTAATGACTGACCATTTGATGGGAATGGGACAATTGCCATGGTAAGTGTGCAGTCCTATAGACCGGAGAGGAGAGCTCCACCCACAGTCCCGACACAGTGATGGCTTAACCCACCACCACCATCCAACGACCACTTTTAGGGGGGCTGATCCTTTAATAGGGCACCTGTAAATTTTGGAATGGAGTAGGGAAGGATTAGAACCCCTGTCAGGTTTTCTTCCTCTGAGAGATTTAGGAGAAAACCCAACACCACAGCAGTGCTTGTGACTCTGAGGTCCCCATTTACATCTCCAGGTTACGGGGTCGCTGCATTGTGGTGCCAACTATGCCGAAAGGCGCCCCAACACAGCAAGGCATCATGTTGTAGCATTTTGAGGCGAGTCGCTTTACAAAAAAATTAGTGTTGGCTTTTCGGCAGTTCAAAGCGTGTTGATTGGGGGGGGGGGGGGGGTGGATTTATGCTGTAAAAGGAGTACCCCAAACTCATGTCACATGGGGTGGTGCAGGAAGCTTCCAGATTCAGATAGGCTTTCCATCCACAGACCCCCCCCCCCCCCCACAACCAAAATTGTCCAGGGTTTGAGGAAGAGGCCTTTTTCCCCCATCAACATGGGGACAAGGTGCTTTGGAGAAAGGGGAGCACCCCCTGCCCCAGAGCCCCTCCTGGAAAGGGGCGGGGAGGAGGAGGAGAAGAAGAGACCCTCCTGGAAATTGGGGGGTGGGGGGGGTTTGGAGTAGAGGAGCCCCTCCTGGAAGAGGGAGGGGGGGAGAAGAGCCCCTCCTGGAAGGGGGGGGGGGGAGAAGAGCCCCTCCTGGAAGAGTGGGGGGGGGGAGAGAAGAGCCCCTCCTGGAAGAGGGGGGGGGGGAGAGAAGAGCCCCTCCTGGAAGAGGGGGGGGGGAGAGAAGAGCCCCTCCTGGAAGAGGGGGGGGGAGAGAAGAGCCCCTCCTGGAAGAGGGGGGGGGAGAGAAGAGCCCCTCCTGGAGGGGGGGGGGGGGGGGGAGAGAAGAGCCCCCCTCCTGGAGGGGGGGGGGGGGGGAGAGGAAGGGGGGGGGGGGGGGGGGGGAGAAGAGCCCCTCCTGGAAGAGGGGGGGGGGGGGGGAAAAGAGCCCCTCCTGGAAGAGGGGGGGGGGGGGGGAGAAGAGCCCCTCCTGGAGAGGGGGGGGGGGGGGGAGAAGAGCCCCTCCTGGAGAGGGGGGGGGGGAGAAGAGCCCCTCCTGGAGGGGGGGGGGGAGAGAAGAGCCCCTCCTGGAGAGGGGGGGGGGGGGGAGAAGAGCCCCTCCTGGAGGGGGGGGGGGGAGAAGAGCCCCTCCTGGAGAGGGGGGGGGGGGAGAAGAGCCCCTCCTGGAGAGGGGGGGGGGGGGGGGGAGAAGAGCCCCTCCTGGAGAGGGGGGGGGGGAGAAGAGCCCCTCCTGGAGAGGGGGGGGGGGGAGAAGAGCCCCTCCTGGGAGAGGGGGGGGAGAAGAGCCCCTCCTGGAGAGGGGGGGGGGGGAAGAGAAGAGCCCCTCCTGGAGGGGGGGGGGGGGGGGAGAAGAGCCCCTCCGAGAGGGGGGGGGGGGGAGAAGAGCCCCTCCTGGAGAGGGGGGGGGGAGAAGAGCCCCTCCTGGAGGGGGGGGGGGGGGGAGAAGAGCCCCTCCTGGAGGGGGGGGGGGGGAGAAGAGCCCCTCCTGGAGGGGGGGGGGAGAAGAGCCCCTCCTGGGGGGGGGGGGGAGAAGAGCCCCTCCTGGAGGGGGGGGGGGGGGGAGAAGAGCCCCCCCCTGCTGCCACAGCTCTGCGCTCTCCCTGTGCAGAGTGACCGTCTTGTCTCCGCCCCCCTTCTGTAGTTTCCTGCAGGCCCCTCCCACAGCTCTGCTCTCTGCACAGGCTATGTACAGCACAGCGATGATGTCATTTCTACTTTTACAAGGTAATATCTGGGTTTGCACAAGCACTGGGCGCACACAAAGCTGATTCATACCCTTTGGGGTTATTGAGGCGTTCGGCATTAATGGAAGCCTTGTGTGGATTTGGTAGATTTCCTGCAGACACAACGGCGGTGTTCCCCACCTGTTCTGCTCTATGGAGGAATCTGCTGACATCCCATAATAACACTTCAGAAGTCATCCTGGTTCTGATAAGAGCTGAAGAACTGGTTTGTTAGGGGACAAAGCCGGGTGTTGCTCAATGCAAACAGTATATTTGGCTTGTCATGGAGAAGAAAGGCCAGGAATGTGCTGGGGACAGAAGAGGGGACATGGCGGGGCGGGGGGGGGGGGGGGGGGGGGGGGGGGGGTCACAGACGATGAGGATGGAGATGCTCCTCTCCGGGGACACTCTGGGCATCGCCTGAAAAGCCCCATTGTGTCTCCACTAATGAGCGCAGCCGGGATGGAGATGTGCGGGGAAAGGCCTGAGTCTGATCCAGACGGTGCTCATCACACAATGGCCAACCGCTGCCAATCAGGGGGGAACCGACGCACCGACCCCGGGGGGAAACTGACGCACCGACCCCGGGGGGAACCGACACACCGACCCCGGGGGGAACCGACACACCGACCCCGGGGGGAACCGACACACCGACCCCGGGGGGAACCGACACACCGAACCCGGGGGGAACCGACACACCGAACCCGGGGGGAACTGACACCCACAGACCACAATGATTAAACGGCCCACCATCAATATATTGCCTATATGAATTCACAAAAAATTTGATTCACACTCCTGCAGCCCTGGATGTGAAGGGGGGGGGGGGACTCGGATGAGCACTGATGGTTTCTGGGGGGGGGATTCGGGTGGGCACTCCTGGGTATGAAGGGGAAGGGGGGACTGGGGGACTCAGGTGGGCACTCCTGGGTATGAAGGGGAGGGGGGGGGACTCAGGTGGGCACTCC